AATAATAATAAACATTCTGTCTCCTAACAGTAATCAACTTTCTATCTAGTTATCCTTGAACATAAACAACCTTGAGTACCCCATGGGAATGACTAAGCATTTAACAGTCTGAGTTAGACATCCCCTCTACACTAAACTAATACATGAAGTGTCTAACTAATGTCTATCTGACTAAAAATACCTAACAAGGACATAGCTTGTAGGTAATGCAAAATGGCAATAAAGACTAGCATAAAAAAAAAAGACTCAATTTAATATAGAGTTTAGTTTACAATACAAAAATTGTACTTTGAACACATTTTACAGTTTGATATGACAGCCAGGTGTGTGATGTTGTAATGTCAGGTGGTAGCTAACAAACTAACACCAAATGCAACATACACACTGGCCTCAAGCAGTCAAAGCAAACTCTGCTCTGGAGGAATCCAGCATTGATTAGCTGATCATTCACCACCCCAGGGTACTTCACTGGCTGGCTGATCGTAGGTTAGACCCGGTCTGGTAAAACAGAGTCTCTGTACATGAACATTCCCAGATATATAGTAATCTCAGGCCTTGTATTTCCCTCCACATCCTCTGGTCAGAATGCATGCAGCAGGAGGTAAAATATAACCACCAAAAAATTCAAAAAATTCTGCATTTAAAACGGCACCGGTGGATGTCAGACAAGCTCACATGCCACTGCCTGGAGATTATGACCATTCAAGGAAATTCTTAAGCCATCACATAAGACTTTACATTGTTTGAAAACAAGCCTAGCAAGCAAGAGTTGTATAGACCGGATTGCTTCTGCATAGAAGTACTAGAAAATACGTACACCTCATTTTTTTTAGCTTTAGGTCACGTTTAAGATGATAATTCACCGTTGGAACATCATAGATAAGTCAGAAAACAAGGACAAGCATGCCATGGGCTCTTTAATGAATCTGCTTTTTATGGAAAGGATGGATTATTACTTAAGCCGTATGACCTGGGGATAAGAGATAAACCGTCCAAGCAAGCTGGAGTGAGCCCATGTGAGAAAACAGCCATGTATAGTCTGGTGTATTCACACGGAACTAGTGGGTGTGTTGATGATGTTTTATCATGTGACAAGCACAAACCCAGAAGAAAACAAACTTCCCATGGTGAACCAAAGCGGTTATTTACAATGAAGACGCCAATGAAAATATTAAACTAGAGACAGGAGATTCAGGAACTTCTGTTGTTTAGAGCAGGCACCAGAATCGTAAGACAAAGAAACGGTAAGAGACTCATTCGTTTATGACCAAATTACAAACTGGTTACAAAATGGTTACGAATGATGTTGCGCATCCTGTGTGCTCTAACCATGTGCTCTCCTCTCGCATAAACCAGGTGAGAAGTGTCTCACACAGACTATCTCCTATTGTGCGCTACATGTGTTAAAGGGCAACTCTGGAGAAAGTTCAGACAGACACAGTCTGGAGTTCAGGGGTGAAAATGGCTTTACTATCAACAGTCATTATATTAGCTTAAAAGAAAGACTAGTAAACTTAGCTATTGTAATACATCAAATTCATCATGTTGTAAAAGTCAAATATTCTAAGATAACTTCTTACATGTGAAATGTTATTCCCTGTTGTTTGGTTCTAGTATTTTTTAGATTGTGTTAGGTATTTTTAATCAGATAGACACTGGTTAGATACTTGTTGTATTAGGAATGTTTAGAGTAGACAGGATGTCTAGTTAGGCATTCTCATGAATGCTGCAGGATGCTTATGGTCAAGGATAACTAGATAGAAATTTGATGACTGTCAGCAGACAGGATGTTTAATATTATTATTATGATGTGTATAACTGTAGCCATAGCCATAATATTTTCTTATGTTTAATGTCATGACATGTCACTAGAGGTCATGTTAGAATGTTTTTAGGTACACGCCACAATCAACAGACACACACACACATTGATTTTCTTCATGTTTTGACTATTGCCATGGTCAGCTGCAAAGCTGGCACCGGGACACGTCACGGTTTGGCGTTCCTGTTAGTATGGGGCTAGCCCAACCTAAGTGATAAATGTATTAGGCTTGTTGGGTTCGGGGTCTTCCATCTTTCAGCTGCCTGCGTGCATGTTGGAGATGCAAGATACCTGAGCGTGTCATGTTAATTTTTACCTGTGTTCATTGAATAAATCAGCACTGTTTTGAAGTTACTTGGACTGCCTCGTCTCTCAGAGTTAGCATGGTTAAAAGAATCGGAATGCTACAAGTGCAACATCCAAAAACAGCACAACAGTAGTGTGACTTTGTCTACTATTAAATCTGGCCAGAATGGCCAGACCACCCTAGGGAATATGGCAGTGGGTAAGACACATCTCAGAAGCCCAGATGCGGCATCTAGTGCATATATTATATCTGTGTTCCAAATCAAACATCTAATGCGGTTAATAAAATCACAGGGGGTTTGTTCTAATATATATGTTTAAAATGTTATTACAAATTCAAATACAGTTATGTGTGTGCCTTTCCAGTCCATCTCCTGCCACTATGCCAGTGCTGATTGTTATTACATTGACGTGAAGGGAACCACACAGGAAAACATTGAGAGAGAGGTGATGGAATTCGCAACCAAGAAGTATGCTGTGGATGACGAGTACACATTCAAGGTCAGACATTTACATTCACATATCATTCATCTTTTTTAAACAAGCGGTATTACAGCTGAGCACAGAATGTGATATACAGTGATACAGTATAATTGAATCTGGACTGTTCACACAATCTTACATGACTATGATTTCAGTCAGACAAAATGTGAACAGCATACATGAGAATAGATGGCGGTATGTACAGTGTTGACATTTGGCTTGTAGTTTCTAAATTGGACAGTCCTTGCAAGTGTACATTTTAGAGCTTAGTGCTATGAGAGTGCAGGGAGGATAACAGATTTTCCCCCGGGGTAACATAGACTCAGAGTCTACATGTGGATTCTGGTGGGGTTGATAAAATGAAAGTGTTGGTTGTAAGATTGTGCACTGATGAGTTAAAAAGACCTGAAGCAGCATCACAAACGTTGCCATTTTTAAACAGGCTCATGGAATCAGAGGTGTGACAGGCTGGCAAGGTGAGGATATGCTGGTCTGGTGAAGTCTTGGTGTGGCATGCAGGGCAGAAGCTGAGCCGGGCAGAGCTGGGGTCGAGTTGGTCTTGCGTAGTAGTAGGTAGATCCGGACGTGTAGAGTAATGCTGGGCAGGCAGCACTGAGAGGTTCCAGGCTAATAGGAGTCAGCACACTAAATGAGCAGAGAGGAAGAAGATGTGTTGGCACTAGGAAGGCTGAGTTGGTTAGTGTTGATTAGGGTGAGTAGATTGGCACCGGAGTGCTGCGAGGAGCTGTGCCTGGCAGGTTGGTGGAGTCTTTCCAGGCAGGCTGAGTGGAGAAGCATCCAGCGGGCTGGGAGAACAGAGCTGAAGGAGCAGAGCAGAATAGCACCAGACTAGCAGAGTCGAGTGTAGCTGGAACTGTGAAGAGAGGCACCAGGCTAAATGAGGCGGCGAGTGTTTTGACTGCTGAGCAGGTTTTGTGTGATGCTGTCTGAAAACAAAACTCTGAGTGAGTAGGCCATCAGAATATAAGCAAAGATGGAGCAGGGCTTACTGAAAGGATTGGTCATGTAGGACAGGCATCTCTGAGCAGTTGGCCAGGAACCATGGAGAAAGGGGAATCTGCTAAGGCAGAGCTGAGAAACAGGAGCGGATCAGGCTGCAAAGCAACTGACAGGAAGAAAGTCGGCCACCAAGAGGTTGTGAGGATAACAAACTGACTAACAAGGAGGAGACAGCCGAGCCTAGGCTATATACTAACGAGTCAGGTAGACAGTTGGCTTCAGATGTGCTAATTCCTGCCAACCATGCCTAGTAGCTCGACCAGGGAGAGACAGAGGCTGGCATTTGACCTAACACACAGACCTCATTTACATTTAGACTTTGTCTCTCCCATGGATCTTTTTGAGCTGACCTTAACTATTGCTTCATCTAAATCATCATGTATCTTAGCCCCCATCCTGATGGGGCTGCTCAAGAACATTTTACTCCTAATTAACATGTATATGTTAGATATGGTCAGTCTCTCTCTATTAACAGGCTATGTTCAAAAGGCTTTTAGGGATGCTGTAATCGAAACTCTACTCAAAAAGCCTCATCTTGACCAAGGTGTTCTAGCTAATTATAGACTGGTATCCAATTTTCTAAAATCCTTTAAAAAAAACCTGTTGCAAAGCCAATTGCACAAGAACGATTTGTTTAAAGATTTTCAGTCAGGATTTATAGCCCATCATAGTACAGAAACTGCACTGGTGAAAGTGACCAACGATCTTCTCCTAGCCTCAATGGACTTGTCTATCTACTTATTCTCCTAGGTCTCAGTGCTGCACCACTGATCACAACATCTTATTCCAGAGACTAGGACATGTTACTGAGATTAAAGGAACCATGCTAAGTTGGTTCAGATCTATTCTATCAGCAAGACTCAAGTTTGTTGATGTTAATGATGGTTCATCCATGTGCACTAAACTTAGTCATGGAGTTCCACAGGATTCTGTGCTAGGTCCAGTTCTCTTCACTTTATACATGCTTCCCTTAGGCAATATTATTAGAAAACACAGCACAAAGAAAAAACAAAACCCCAAAAAACAAGACAACCACGGGGACTACAACAATGACAGGGGAAACCAGGACCAAACAGGCAAAAGAACAAAAACAAAACCACCCAAAAAAGATAGTCCTAGTCCATGGGGTGACCCTGGAAAACAGGGAGCCAAGCAGGAGTCCAGGGAGGCCACTCGGGAGGGCCGGCTGACCAGCTCAGGGGCAGGAACAGGAACAGGCCAGAAGGCGGGGTCGGCACGCTGGCCGACCCGCTCAGGGGCAGGAACAGGAACAGGCTAGAAGGTGGCGTCGGCGCGCCGGCTTACCCGCTCAGGGGCAGGAGGTAGGAGGGCGCTGACACCATTGGCGAACCCCTCAGGGCCTGGAAGAAGGGGAATACTATCCTTGTCGATGAACCCCTCTGGGGCAGGGAGCAGGGGAATGGAGAGGGCTTTGGCGGTCCAGCCAAGCCCTACGGGACCCGAAACAACCACCTCCATTGGCATGTCCTCGTCAGCACACTGTAGACCTGGTACCCTGGCGGGGACGCTGTCGTCGGTGCACCCGGGTTTCTTGGTCTCAGCGGGGACGTTTAGGTAATCATGCCAAGGGGTGGACTCCGGGGCGGCATCAGCACACCAGCCGACCCACTGGGAAACAGGAACGAGAACAGGCTGTGACTGTGGAGGCAACTGTGGCTGTGGAGACGGCCGCTGCCGGGAACCTGGAGCGTTCACCATGATGCACAGGGTGGTGGTAACCGTGGCGGGGACGTTTCTGTCGGCACACTGAAGGTAAGGGGCTTCAGTGGGGACACTTTCGTCGGCACACCTGGAACCTCCCCATGCTGAAGGGATGTCAGATGTCGTAGCTGCAGGAACAGGCTGCCGCTGCCGGGG